ACCCAACAGCTGCAATTCACGTTATTACCCTTCCTCGTCTGTTCTTTTGGTACATCATTTAAAAATTCTTCTACTTATCTTCTGGAACTTTGTACTGTAACTGTAACTCTTCCTTTCTTAGAGACTAAAACACAAACAAAAGTTTGGGAGGCAATAAGGGCTTTACCTACTGGCTGGATAGTCAGAAACTGCTATGATCTGTATCCTACACCCTAAGATACAAATCAGAAACCCCTAGCTAGGCCACCTTAACAGCTACCTTTTGATCAGTGTTTACTCTGTCTCAAAATTACACTTCATTAGTCAAGGGGGATCAGGAAAATCAATCATTAATAATGATAATGAAAAAAATCTACCAAAGGTGGATAATGTCACCTTCATAATCCAAAGAAAGTCTGATAATTAGGATTTTATAGTGCATTAAATAGTCATGAACATACTTGTGATTTTGCAAAAATATTCATTCTGAGTTTATGATGTTCTAATTTCATGTATGTAGGAAAGAAGGACAATTGATTTCAATTTTATTAAATCCTAAACCTAATGCTTGGGAAAAATATCATGACATTCATAATAGACTAAGGATGGAATGACTTGTGCTAGAACATTCTCCCTCTGACAGAGACAGAGCTTGACATTCACACCAGGCCCCATCCATGCAGCAGAGACTGACAGAGACAACAGAAACTCCCAGAGGCAATGTCTTCCATCACTTAGGAGAACAACATAGAAACCTGGGGCAAGTGCTCAATCACAAAACAAAATGAACACCTACTGGGTGTCCAGGGGTGCTTGCCCCTGAACCAAACACTTGGGAAGAAGTCCAACAGAATGTATGGAGACTGCTTACCTTGGAGTAGGCTGACCTTGTCCCTTCTAGTCTATAGGGCAGTCTTGTTCCATCATGTGAGGCTACACTATTGGCTTCCCAGGAGTTATGATGTCATTTAAATTTTTCTGGCTCCTGCCTATGGTGACACTGCAGGGAAAAAAAAAGACACTCTTTCACACCCATCTCTGGTCCTGAAGTCTCCAATATTAGGGACATTTGTGAGAAGTTATTTTGGATGGGGTACTTTTCTGGCCTCCAAGGAAGATGTTTAATTAATAAGATAGGAAAGCTGAACTGCGGGATTTAAATTGATCAAAACTGATTTTGGTCTAGTGGTGTGGCCAAACCCCAGGATTTATCCATGGGCCTAATTGAGATATTTTGGGGGAACTATTCTGACTTTCTGATCATCTTCTGTTTATTGAGTCATCCTTTGAGTTTGCCCAGTTCTGGTCTGGAAACTCAGCCTGAATTACAGTCATATTTGTCTCATAGGCAGGTGTGGAGATGATCAAGTATAGTTTGGAAACTGCAGGTTTCAAAGTAGAGTGTGAAATCCATTTAGTAAATCACAACTAGCATCTTTATTTTCAATAAAATAAAGTTAAAATTTCTGACTGCTTTGTTATGGGAAGGATATGTATTGTTCCATAAAGTTTTATTTGTATTTGTATGTACATATGTGTGTCATGAGTTGCAATGTGAAATATATTTCTTATTGGGGGTTATGGTTTAAAAAGTTCAAGAAATACTGATCTAGTGCTTGACTTTGATCTGTAGGGATTAAGAGAAAGAACGTTGGGGCCAAACTGTTCAAGTTTGAATCCCGACTCCATCACTTGCTAGCTGTGTGACTTTGGGCAAATTACTTAACTTCTCAGTGCCATAGTTTTTACATGTTTCACAAATGTGATATGAGAATAATAATAGTAGCTCTCTAGCTTATTGAGTTAATATAGGAATTAAGTAAATTAACATTGGGAAATTGATTAAAACTTTGCCTAGCACATAGTAAGTGCCTTATAAATGTTTGTGAAACAAAAAATCTGTTCCCCAAGTATATTCTTTTACATATTGAATCAAGACAACAAAATTTGTGCCCTATGGATATTTAGAATCTAGCATATAGATATGTATTTGAAAAAGTTGTCTGTTCCAAGTGGCATTATATTGGATTGCTTAAAAAAGACTACCTGGATTTAAACCACAGCTCCACCACTTACTTGCTGTGTGACCTTGGGCAAGTTATTTTACCTTGCAGATCCTCAGTTTCTTAATCTACAACGTGGTGCTATAGAGTCTATATCAAGGGTTGTTACCAGGACTAAATGAGACCATCCACAGCAGATGCTTAGGGCTCAAGCAATAACTGTTATCATTCTGACCCTTAGTAATTCAGAGCATGTCATTGCTTCTTTTTTCCCGATGCACTGAAAGGCAACCCCTCCTCTTCTTTTATGTGAATGACTTAGCCATCATTTCAGTTCAGCTCTGGTGAATCAACCACATAGGGACTCAGAAAAAGACCAATACTACTGAATAGGAAAGTAATTGTAAGACCCAGGGTTGGATTCAGACTGCCCCACTGTGCTCTCTCTTCAGCCTCTCTCTCATAACTTAGCTTAGTTACTAGTCTTGTCCTTTTGCCTCAGCAGGTCTTCACATCCCTGTGGATAATTCTGAAGTGTCATAATGCAAGCCTGAGAGCCAGAGTCCCTTTTCAGTATGGCTGTCTGTGGCAAGAGGCTCACATCATATTTTCTTCCCCTTCATCCTGGGGGCAGGAAACTGATCAGGACGAAGCTTGCTGTCTAATTTGATGAAGCTTTGTAGATATTGGTATCTTGTAAATACCGTGATAGCATAAAAGTGCTCATTAGATGAAGGGGCTTTCAAATTAAGTCCTTCAGTTCTTAAGGACCTTTGGCAAAGCTGTTCTGGCAAAGTGAAATCTGAGATTCTTGAGGACTCCTGAGTTTGAGGACCTGCTACTGTTTTTCTGTAACTCCCCCTCTCCTGTCATGGCACATTTTTTCCTGTAGCACTTACCACAGCTTTAAATCTCTCACTTGATCATAAGCTCCTCAAGGGCAGGGGACCTGCCTTATTCATCTTTGTATCCCCTGCAAGCAAGCAACTGGAACACATCTCAATCAATGTCTGTGGAATTGAAGCTGCTTGGATTTATAACGCAGGTCACAGTGCCAGAGCTCAGAATGCGACTAGAGCTGAAGGCAAGTGAGGAATCATTTATTTCATTTATTTATTTCCCACTACTGAGCTGAGTGCTGGCTTCAGAGGAAATTCAAGTCACACCAAAGGCTGCATTGTCCAGCCCCAGGGAGGGCCTCAAGGTGCCTTTGCTGAAAGATCTTTCTCTTAGTTCTGAGAGGCAAGGAAAATGCACCGGGTCCTGCATCTTGCTGGTTTACAGTCCAGAGCTGGAACAAAGTAAAATGGAAATGTGAACTCTTTTCATCTTTCCAACAGCTTATGTAGAGACAGGCAATGATTAGGGCTTAGTTCTGAGAGGCAAGGAAAATGCACCGGGTCCTGCATCTTGCTGGTTTACAGTCCAGAGTTGGAACAAAGTAAAATGGAAATGTGAACTCTTTTCATCTTTCCAACAGCTTATGTAGAGACAGGCAATGATTAGGGTCACAGAGCCCTTTCTAATCCAGCTTGGTCCTAATTAAATACAGGGGCATAATTTATTTTCCTCCCTTTCAAATGCTACAGGTCTTTGACTTAACTTTTTAGTTTATAAACAGAAATGAAGCCAGAAAACAGTCTTTTGAAAATTCTCCTTGTGTCAGGCCAGGCACTCTGCTGATGCCTTGTGTATATTTGCTCTAATCCTGCCCATAGCCAGGCAAGACCGATATTAATGTCTCTATTTACAGTTGAGGAAACTGAGGCCCAACGAGCTTAAATGGAAAACAAGGAATTGGAGATCAGCTCCTTTTGGATGCATTCATCACACCATGAAGTCTCCCCTTTCTCCTCGAGCCCTCTGGCGGGTGCGGGTGCGTACGTGCGTGACTGTGCGGATGGTTCCTTTCCCCCTATAAAGACCTCCTCCTCCTTCTGGTCAGTTTTCTCGATTCCACTTGTCTGAGACAAAGTCCAGTTCTTCTCCAAGGTCTCACCACCCCCTCGCCGTCTCCCTCTGAAGTCCCAAGGACGGCCAGCCACTCCCTCGCTAAGTTTGGAGTCCCAGCCCTTGGCTCCGATTCCGGGCTCCACTCCCTTGCTCCAGGGACCCGCTCCTGGTCCTCGACCCCTTGGCCCCAGCACTCGGCGGGACAGCACCGCCCGCGCCTCGGCCCGCCTCCCCTACCTGACGCCCGCGCCACCCGGGGCGCTGCAGCCTCCGCCCACGGGCGCGCCTGCCGTGCCATTGGCTCCCCGGGCTGCCCGTCTCCTCCGCTCGGTGCCGGAGGCAGGTTTTGCCGGAGAAGCCGCAGTCCCCGCGGCTCGGACGCCGCGCGGGAGGACTGTGCAGCGCAGGTCGCAGATCGCAGACCCGAGCGGGCATGTCGCCGCGCGCTGGAGCCCCCGTCTGCCGCCGGACTCCGGCGGCTGCTAACTTGGCTGCGGGCTCCTGCGGCCCCGCCGCGGCCATGTAGTCGCCGGCGGGGCTGCCCGTAGCCCGGGAGCGGCAGTGCTAGCAAGCCGGAGCCGAGCAGCCCACGGCTTTCCCCCGAGGCGCTGAGCGCGCGCCGCGGCCCCGCCGCCCCTCGGGCAGCACTTTGGGTCCGAGAGGTCGTATAACTTCGTATAATGTATGCTATACGAAGTTATTACGCAATGGGAAGAAGAGGAACATGGAAACTTCACAGAACCACAGAATCTCAGAGTTAGAACAGAGCTTAGTGATCATCTATTTGGTCTTCCCCTTCCCAGATTCTCCTTCATCCAGAATACTCTCTAACATAATCCCAGAAAGTGGCCACAGAGGATTGCATAAACAATTCCAATCTCAGGGACCTTACTACCATCTCCTGACATTTTCTTTTTTATTAATCAGTATAAATTTCTTTATTAATGCTTAGCTAAAATCTGTCTTTCCCTTTTCTCTAGGGACACATAAAATCATTTTAATCTTTCTTCCAAATAATAGTCCTCTCAATATTTAATGGGCTGTCCTATTTCATCCTGTGAACGTATGTACAACAATGCCAACGAGAATGAAGTCTGCAAAAGGTCACGGCATTTCCACATCAAGAAAGCTATTAGGAAACCAAAACAGTTGAGTTCCATTAACACGGAAGAGACAGAGCTATCAAGTGGGTTCCCTTCAACCACCAGCTTCACTGGCTTTCTTCTTTTGATGTACCTCAAACTTTCTCCTTTCTCAGTGATGGATCTGTCATCCATCAGGTTGTTCAAGTTATAAACTATTGTTCTCTTACCTTTCACATACAATTCATTACCTATGTCCTAAATGTGCCTTGAATATATCCACTTATTTTCATCTTTACTGCTGCTATCCTAGTCCAAGCTACCATCCTCCTTTATCTAAGCTTATTCTAATTTTCTAGTGGCTAGTCTAACCCCACTTCCATGCCTGCCTGCCTCTATTCTAAATTGCAAATCAGATCACATCAAACCCTGCTTCAAAACCTTCAAAAGCTCCCGCTGCCATTAAGACTGAGACCAAACTCCCTAGCACAATTTTCAAGGCTCTGCCTCTCCTATGCGGAGGAGCCGCGCCGCCCGCACCCCGGGACAGCAGCGCGTCCCAGGAGGAGCAGGATGAGGAGGTGAGCCCGACTTCCCCCACCACGCCCCTCCGGGGCCCGCTGCCGGGCGACCCCAGCTCCCTAACCCGCGCGCTGGCGGAGGGCAGGGGCGCTCGTGGCATGGAGAGGGGCGGGACCCCAGGCGCGCCGCCCTGAGCCCGGGGTAACGACAGTTAGGAGCCTCCCTGCGGGTCGTTGACTTCCCCGCGGCTGTTACCCCGTGTGTGTGTTTACATGTGCTGACTGATGGTGCGCTTTTAAAATGTCGAAGCAGCAAACTCAATGTCCGTATCACCTCCGGTCGGTCTGTGAATGGGTGCGATGTGCACGCCCGGCATGTCCCTACAACTGAGATGCGACCTTTCAAGTGAGCGTTGCTTCCCACCGAAGCGCTCGAGCGGAGGGGGAGTGTGGTGATGGGGAGGGATGGTGCGTTGGGGCTGGGGGGCTATTGGGGGCGTAGCTGCACTGCGCGGTCTCAGTGGCGCGGGCCCCCCAGGATCGCCCGCTGGCGGTTTTGGCGGGTCCCCCGGGCAGCTCCTCCAGGAGAGGACTCCCTGCGCTCGGCCGGCGGCGCAGACGTGGGCGCCCGCAGCTCCCATTCCAACTTGTTTCCAGGGTGTCCAGGTGAGCGCTCGTCACCGAACCGAACAGGGAGCGTCTCACCTTGTTTGGGGGTACTGTGTCCGTCCTAGTTTCCAGGAAGGATGTTTGTCCAGGACTTGCATATAGCTTTAGTGTGCTTCCGGCTGTTTCCTGCTTTTGGAGGACAGTTAAGGAACAGTAAGGTTCTTCATGTCTTCAAGAATGTTTGCTTTGGACGTTTCGTGTGGGGAAGTCATCTTGCTCAGGCAGGGCCAAAAATAAAACGTCACCCTAACATAGCCTCGTTGTAAAATTAATTCCTCAGTGCCAGAGTGGTATTTTTCTCATCTCTGATGGGGTTGGCTTCAGTAAGTAATTGCCTTTGTCCCTAGAAAAAGCAAGCTGAGGCCAGTGTCCTGGCAGAAGTCCCTTGCGTCCGTAGCCTCGAAGCAAAGATTGGATCTGGCAGAAGATGAGAAGAGGCAAGTACTAGCCTCGTAGAGATGGAGCAAACCTTAGTTGGTGGTGGCCAAGCAGTGACCGTGATCCATGCCTGAATGCTCTCGGAGATTCTAGACAGGTGTCTGGAGACCTGCTTTCTAGAACTGTCTCTGCTCCTGAGTTGTGAGACCTTGGGTAGGTCCTTTCACTCCTCTTAGGTTCAATTCTAAAATCTATAAAGCGAGGAACTTCACAGTAAGGTTTATTTCCACACAAATACTCCTCTATCTGATCAGGAATTTTGGATGGATGCATAGTTCCATTTTGATCCTGGTAAGAGGGTGGGAGGAGTTTGCTGAGTGCCACACCCACCACAGAACTGTGTCCTGGCAGAGAGGTGACCAAGCCCTGTACTATAAGAAGATGCCAGACATGGCCCAGGTGTTTGCCCTGTGACTTCTGCCTTAACTTTCAGAGATGAGCACACTGTCCCTGGGAAGCTGGGGGTATACCTTAATTATTTACCACTAGATTCTAATTTAGTACTGCTACTGGTAGACAGGTTGCCCTATGTTTTCTGTTTAGCTGAGAGTGTGCTCAGAGGTAAGTGACGTGGTCTTGCAGATGGGAGTTATTCTAATTTAGTACTGCTACTGGTAGACAGGTTGCCCTATGTTTTCTGTTTAGCTGAGAGTGAGCTCAGAGGTAAGTGACGTGGTCTTGCAGATGGGAGTTAGGGGCGGGGAGGAGAGTTGGGAACTTTTCCTTTTTTGATCCTGATTCTGTAGTTGATTTATTGCCTGGCCTTGGGGTGACGGTGTTTTACTTTCTTGGAAGAGGATATAATCATAGCTTATTTCACAGGCAATAAGGTGAGGATGGGTTGATTGAAACAAGTTAGAAAGTGGAATGACTAAATAATAATTGATCTCTACTGGCGAAATCTCAGAATTGGATGTAAACTGATATGGTATTGCAATTTATTGTATAACTTAACCTGTGTCAGGGGAAGCTGGAACTTGTCCAGGAGTGAAATCTTGCTCTGAGAACTTTAAAGTGAAACTAAAACCATATAGTTTTTTCCCCCTTCAGGAGTAGAGAAGTGATAGCCTTGATGAAAGGGGTTGAAGCCCAGTGTGCATTTTGTGTTTCCTACACTGGCAGTGGTATGGTGCAGTGGATCTTAACCTTTTGTGAGATTGTGGGCCTCTTTGAGAAACCAATGAAAGCTCCCTTGTCCCTCTCCTCAGAAAGTGCACACAATTATAATTATGATTTCAGAGGATTCTGGAATGCCAGGTTACAAACTGTCAGTTTAGTGGAAAGACCTGGGTTTGATTTCTAGCTCTGCCACCCTGACGAGGTGTGTAATTGTGGGCCATTCAACTTCTGTAAGCCTCAGTTTTCTCACCTCTTAAATGGGAATAATAGCAATAGAGTTGTTAGACATTTTACACATGCCATCTAATTTAATTCTAGCACAGTAGCTAACATATAGCATTGAGTTCCAAGTAAACAGTAGTAAATATTAATTTTTCAAGTTCGTTTGTGACAAAATTTTGGGAAATGGAAGTACAAGGTTGGGCTGTCCTTCTATTAATACATAGTTTTTATGCTACCTATCTTCAGAGAATCTGAGGCTGTCTATTCAGTTTTCTCCCATTTTATTAGTATAAGCTGGGAAACAGTTTTTGTCTCAGATTGTATTATTAACAAGGCACCGTTAGTGTAGTGTTAGTTGTACTATACAAGGCATTGAGAATAAAACATTAAAAGGCTTAAGGTGCAACTCATAAAGTGGAAAGAGGTTCATTTAGTTTTTAAAAATGTTATGTCTAGCTTGGGAGAGTCATTATTTTCCAAAGTTTTTTTTTATAGTAACTTATTGCATTAATTTTTAAAAAACAGCAAAATTTGTTTCTAGTGTATTATTGCAGTGTTAATTTTTTGGCAACCTTGTTAAAGCTGTTTTCATTATGTCTAGTAATATCAACAGTGTTTGACCTATTTCATATTTTATGCTGTCAATATTTGTGTAAACTTACAAAGCCTCATGCACTTAAATCAGCCCTTTAAGCTTTGGTGTCTTAAAAACAATAGTTTAACATAGCAGTGATCGTAGTTTTTATGTATTTAATATCAAACACATGAGAATTAGAGGTGGTGCATGACTTTTTAATTTAAAAAACCACATCTGACTTCTGCTTCTTACCCAAACCTGTGTATGTTGAGGATAGTACACTGCATTTCTGATAGTTAAGATGATCTAGATTGGAGGTCAGTTGCCCTGACAGTATTTCTGAGATTTGCCTTTAGGCATTCTGCCTAGTCCCTTCCCAAAGCACCTTGTGATGACTCTAATAAAATACTTGGGTGCTGTTTGGTAATTGTTGGTACACTTTGAGAGCAAGAATTTTGTGTTTGTACGCTTAGCACAGTGCCTCTGATATGTTGGTAGGGTCTTGGTAAATTTATGTTGAATGAGGAAAAAAATGACAACTCTGAAAACAGTTGCATATTTGAAGGGTGACTGTGCGTGTATTCATGTATTTTGTCTGTTGTGAATTATGACACTCAAACCTCTACACCTCTAATCAAGAAAAACCTTGTGGATAACAGCGAAAAACATTAGGAACAGTTTTTCCTGGTAAATTTTGAACAGAATGAAATCTCTGAGGATCCACTCAGAACGCCTTTGAGAGGACATGCATGTGAACTGTTGTTAACTGCTTTTCCCTATGTATAGTAGGACTGGAAACTTTCAGGGATTCTTAGAATGGCAGAAGAGGGCTTAGTAGTTGGAAGGATTTCCAACTCAATATATACAACCCATATATACTCTGCTACGCTAAGGGATTTGTTTTATTGGTATAAGTTGGCAAACAGTTTCTCTTATTAACAATGGCCACAATTATGGGCTGTCTTTAGACTGTTCTTTATTAAATGGTGTATGAGTTTGAGGACTGCTTTTAATATCATTTTGGGTGTATGTGTGTGGGGGTCCCCACATGGTAGTAATGCAGTAGATGAGTTTCTGGTGTTCCTTGCTTAAGAGAATAAATAGCAAAAAGCAACCATGAATTCAGCAAAGCTTTTCATTGAATTTATATTTTATTAATCACAGTAGCTACATACTTTGAAAAGACAAGTAGTGCATCAATCTTGGCATATTTATTATTTAGTCTACTTTTTGACTTAATACTTCAGTAAGAGCCATGAGATGAGAAAATCAGTCAACTAATATGTATTGAGTCTGACTCTCTGAGTCAGGGTCTGTCCTGGGCACAGAGACCTCATGGAGCTTCTTGTCTACTGGGGGAAACAGTCACAAAATGCATATTATTCATTAATCGCTTTCAAAAGTGGCAAATGGGGGAACTGTCTGTGAAGGAGGGGGAGAGAGCACTGAGCAACTTTCAAGTCTCTGAGTCAGGGTCTGTCCTGGGCACAGAGACCTCATGGAGCTTCTTGTCTACTGGGGGAGACAGTCACAAAATGCATATTATTCATTAATCGATTTCAAAAGTGGCAAATGGGGGAACTGTCTGTGAAGGAGGGGGAGAGAGCACTGAGCAACTTTCAAATCTGGAGGTTGAGGGCTGCCTCTGTGTAGTGAGGAAGTGAAGTTTGAGCTGGGACGAGCAGGTGTGAGATGGGGTAGGAAGGAGGTAGGAGTGAGCCAGGTAGCAGGAGGCCCTGAGGTAGGAGAGAGCGTGGGGGTGTCCGTGGCTCTGAGAAGAATCGGGTTGTTTGGCGTGGAGGAGAGGAGAGCATGGCATAGGAGGTTGAGTGACAGAAACACAGCAGTTGTGTCATACAGAGCCGTTTGGACTTCATTCTAAGGGCACTGGGAGCCACTTGAGGATTTGAAGCGAGGAAGTGACCTGATCAGACTTGGATGTTGGGAAGGCTGGACACATGAAGTCCGCCTGTTAAGAACTGCTGGGGTAGCCTGTTTAAATGTTCCAGAATTGGAACTGACACCTCGTGTGGAA